GAGGGAGACAGAATCGGAAGCAGGCTCCAGGCTCTGAGCCATCAGCCCAGAGCCTGACATGGGGCTCGAACTCACGGACTGTGAGATCATGACCTGAGCTGAAGTCAGCCGCTTAACTGACTGAGCCACCCAGGTGCCCCCCAAATTTTTTTTTTTAACATTTATTTTTGAGACAGAGACAGAGGATGAACAGGGGAGGGGCAGAGAGAGAGGGAGACACAGAATCTGAAGCAGGCTCCAGGCTCTGAGCCATCAGCCCAGAGCCCGACGCAGGGCTCAAACTCATGGACCGCGAGATGGTGACCTGAGCTGGTCAGACGCTTAACCGACTGAACCACCCAGGCGCCCCAGTAGCAAATGTTTTAAAGAGGAGTTGGGAACTCCTAAGTGGCTCAGTTGGTTAAGTGTCCGACTTTGGTACAAGTCATGATCTCGCAGTTTGCGTTTGAGCCCCACATGGGGCTCTGTGCTGACTGCTTAGAACCTGGAGCCTGCTTCAGATTCTGTCTCCCTCTCTCTGTCCCTCACCTGCTCCCGTTCTCTCTCAAAAATAAACATTAAACAAGAGATGCCCCTCCCTTACTCACACTCTCTCAAAATTAAAAAACAAAACAAAGAATGAGTTAATAGAACCAAACCCGTGCTAAAACTGTTACAACTGGGAGTAGTGATGATAGGTATAGAGTAGACAGGCAATCTTATGGACAGAGGCCACGAGCCTAAACTGGTATGAAATATACCATGCATTGTTTTGCTTATTAAACCCTTTCAAATTTTACTTTTGAAACGTATTATTCTACAACACAACTTCAAATGGGTACAAACAACAGGGTATATAGCATGACTAGAAACCTAAATGCCCTCCTCCTAGAAACTGGGTAATTTATAATATAATCTTAAAACAACACAAATTTGTACACGCTGGTGGGTAGGAAACCATCTTTGAAATAGTCCAAGTATGGATCTTTTTTCCCCAATTTTTACTGTGGTTGGCTACACATAAAACTTACCATCTTAACTATTTTTAAGCACACATTTCAGTAATACTAAGCAACCAACACCACCATCTATCTCCAGAATTCTTTATCTTGTAAACTGAAATTCTATATCCATTAAACTCCATTTACCCCTTTCCCCAGCCCCTGGCAACTAGCACAGGCATGGGGTTTTTTTTAAATATTTATTTTGGAGATAGTGCAAGCAGGGGAGGGACAAAGAGAAGGATCCAGAGGATCCAAAGTGGGCACCATGCTGACACCAGTGAGCCTGAACCCACGAACTATGAGATCATAACGCAAGGCAAAGTCAGGCACTAAACCCACTGAGCCACAGTGGTGACCATGTTTTGTTGTTTTTAACTTTAATACTTATTCTTGAAAGAGACAAAGTGGGGGGGAGGGGAGAGAGACAGAATCTGAAGCAGGCTCCAGGTGCGCAGCAAAAAGCCAGACGAAGGGCTCAAACTCACAAACCGGTGATCATGACCTGAGCTGAACGCAAGCTAAGTGCCTGTGTTAACATTTCGACATCCTAAAAATCTTCACTACTTGTTAAGTACATCTAACCCATTAGAATCCTATGGCAGACCACCTAGAAATGCTTAAAGTTAGCGTCAACCTAGTTTTTTATCCTGTATATAGCTGCGAAGACATAGCTAGAGGTCAACTGTGATGCTCATTCAGTTACCTTTCACTTCCCTAAATCTTTTTGTACGACTTTGCTTATACAAAAACCAAACTTCTACTTTGCTCTAAAGCATTTTATTAGAATCCTTTTGACAAGACCAAGTATTTGATTACAATGAAGCAAAGTGGTCTGAATGATATTTAAATATCTCAAAATTTCTATGCAGTTTTTTTTCTCAAGTTCAAAGCTGCTCACAGGTTAATGCAGGACAGCTAGATGAAGTTCCTAGGATTTGCTCAACACCAAATAAGACACATCCTCTCGTTAGCAAAATCCTGAAATTCATAAAAGAACATCTATTAGAAACATGCACACAACTGGAATTAAAACATGAACTTGGGTGGGTAGAGAAAGCAGGAGTGATTCGTGGTTTCAAATATCCTCAGAGAAATGTTAATGGTCCAAGAAAGTTACCATTACCATTCTGGGGCTGAAGAGAAACTGGTACTCACCATAGGAGCCAGGGAGAAAGGACATGGCTCTTCACTCCTCATTGCAGCCCAAAGATTCAAGTGGCAGGAGCCACTATCTAGGCGACCCAGAAGTCTCAACAGCACTTCTCCAAGAGGCTAAGTTCCCAACTTCAGCCATTCAGTCACCAGATTAGACACTGATCTGTAAAAGGGCACTGCCCCAAGTAGGCTTCTAGAATAATCAGGCTAGAAAAGTAAAAAGACAACCATTGAGAAGCACAAGCAAATTTAAAGGCCCTCCTGTTGGCCCCTTCTCAGACCCAAGCCTCCAGTTCTCCAAATGAGTCAGAACTTAATTTTTGACATCAAGCCCAGCATCAGAGACTCTAGTCTGAGACAATCATCATTCCCAATTTAGGGAGACCTGGATGAAGGCAGGCGATTCTGAGAAGCGATGTAATACACTGAAAGACAATGGTCTTTCATCCAATATAAGGATGCAGCAAAATAAGAGTGCAGAGATGGCAAGCTCAAGAGTTAAATTACAGTGAAAAAAAATCCAAAATTGTGCGTGTGCACACACACAGAACCAAAAAACCTCCACTGGGGAATACAGAATGTACAGTAAGGAGGCAGGTTTAACCGCAATTAGGCAAATATATAAAAAGTTACCAAAATTTTTTAAAAAGTTCAAGAGGGGCATCTGGGTGGCATATCAGACTTTGGCTCAGGTCACGATCTCAGGGTTCGTGGGCTCAAGCCCCACATCAGATTCTGTGCTGGCAGCTCAGAGCCAGGAGCTTGTTTCAGATTCTGGGTCTCCCTCTTTGCCATCACACTCGCACTCTCTTAAAAATTAATAAAACATTGGGATGCCTGGGTGGCTCAGTCGGTTAAGCGCGGGACTTCGGCTCTGGTCGTGATCTCACAGCTCATGGGTTCGAGCTGGCCATCAATCAGGTTCTGCACCCCTTCATGCTGTCTCCCTCTCTCAGAAATAAACGTTAAAAAAAAAAAAAAAAGACTTCACAGTGACCCCATGAAAAGAGGGTTCTGGGATCAAAACAGTCTGAGAAGCACGGAGAAGAATCTCACACCTAATACTCACCTTTATTCAAGGGTAACACACGGCGAGCACCTTAAAACACCTAGTGGAAAAATGAAACACAGGGATAGGCCACACTTGTGTTTTCTGGCCACGAGCTTCTCCCCAGCACAGGTACCAGGAAGACCCAGCCCGGGGGAGGGAGATGGTCAGCGCGCTGCGGTGACGGCGTCAGCGAGACACTCAGAATCACCTGGGTTCATCATCACCCCCGTCTTCCCCAAGGCCACCGCCAGCCATTCCATCTCGCACAGTCCACTCACCCTCGTGGCGCTGCGAACCAGCCTACGAAGACCAGGGCCCTGGGAAGAAACCCATGAGTCAGCAGGGGCCAGGGGCGACCCCAGCCGAGTACCCCCCTGCCCTGGGCTGGGTCAGTTCCAAACGATGGCGTCACGTACACATCAGAAACTCTAGTCTGTAATGGCAGTTCATCCTGCTCAGCCCGAGACTGCGGTCCCCTCACCCAACAGGAACCCGAGATACCTACACGAAGGAAGCTTGGCAGAGACAGCGCAGGTCGCCGGGGCCGCCGCCTCCCCCTGGCGTAGGGGATGGCGCCACAGCACCCCCCGGCGCAACACAGCACACGGACATCCTCCAGAGGCAGGTGCACGCACAAAGAGAACTATAATGGCGGAGTCCCGGCTATTTATGGCGACGTGGGGTCGGGGGCCTGACGGGCATGGCTGTCTTCGTCGATGCCTGTTCGACCCACGGCAAGAATAAAGCAAGTGAAAGAGAGGCCAGGAGTGAATGTTTCACACTCTTCCGGGCAAATAATTCAGACCTATTTTGTTAATTTTGAAAAACAAAAGATAGATGACCGTCTCTCCATCGGCCGGGCCGGAGGCAGTCTCTGGCGCTGCAGGAAGCCTGCGCAGCTGAAAGCCTGCGCAGCTGCGTGCTTTTCCTTATTGGCCTCCCGGGCTGACAAGTCCCAGCTGGAGTAACTCCTCCCTCGTCCTCACCAGTTCGGGGTCCTGGTCACGCTCAGAGACTGTCACCTGTTCTGTCTAGCCAGCGAAATCTGAATTCACCGCCCACTCCAGCCCGCAGACCTATCAGTCACATTAACCTTAGTGTCTTTTTTTTTTTTTAACCGCTTTATTAAGATATAAATAACATACAATAAACAGTTTTTTAACATAGACCATTTGATAACTTAAAAAAAAAATCTAACCTTTTAAGTGTACAGTTCACTAATGTTGAATGTATCACGTTGTTGTGCAACCTATCTGCAGAACTTTATCCTACTATACCCATGAAACTACTCCCAGTTTCGTTTCCTGTCCTCTTTATGAGCAGTTCATGGACTGGGAGTTGGCCAGAAACGGTGGACGTGTTCAGTACACTCTAAATAGAACCATATATCTCAGGAGGGTTAGAAGCAAAACAAATAGGGGTGCTGTAGCAACAGCCAGACCCTGTTCTCCCTTTGCTAGTTTTTCTCCCCCAGAAATCTGGTCATTTGCTCTTGGCCTCTATTAAGAGGCCGTCAACTCATAAATTATCCCAAATCCCACCTTCCTAGATGGACCCTTCTATACCTCCTCATTTATAAATGTAGTTAGTGTTTGGTGATGTATGTTGGCCTCTTCATCTTTTATGAGAAAGGAATATATGAGTCGGGGGTTCCACATCATACAAAATCATTTTTTTTAGTAATCTCTATACTGAAGGTGGGGCTCAAACTCATGACCCCAAGATCAAGAGTCACATGCTCTACCCAGCCAGCCAGGCACTCCCAAAATCAGTCTTATTTTATTTTATTTTTATTTATTTTTGAGAGAGAGAGTGTGTCAGGGAGTAAGCAGGGAAGGGGCCTAGAGAGAGGGAAACACAGAATCTGAAGCAGGTTCCAGGCTCTGAGCTGCCGGCACAGAGTCCTACATGGGACTTGAACCCACGAACTGGGAGATCATGACCTGGCCAAAGCCAGAGGTTAACCGACTGAGCCACCCGGGCGCCCCTTATCATTTTTTTTTTTTAATGTTTATTTATTTTGAGAGAGAGAGCGAGCAGGGAAGGATCAGAGACCGAGGGAGAGTGAGAATCCCAAGCAGGCTTTGCACTACCAGCATAGAATCTGCCATGCAGGGCTCAAACCCAGCAACTGTGAAATCATTACCTGAACTGAAAGCAAGAGTCAGATGTTTAACTGAGCCACCCAGGTGCCCCAGTCTTCTTCTTAAGTCCCATAATTAGGCACAGTGGACACAGATTAAAATGCAGAAGAAGGCCATTGTGGGTGCAGAAAATATACCCTCTTACTTCTGCAATAATCTTTCCATCTTGCCCCAAGGTTTCAGACTTCCATCAAAAAAATGTCTTCCCAGGAGCACCTGAGTGGCTCAGTCAGTTGAGCACTTCTGAGCTTTGATTTTGGCTCAGGCAGTGATCCTGGGGTCGTGGTATTGAGTCCCGCATCTGGTTCCATGCTGAACGCTGAGCATGGGGTGTGCTTGAGAGTGTCTCTCTTCCTCCTTCTGTCTCTCTCCCCTGCTCACGAAAGCTCTCTCTCTCTCCTCTAACATAAAAAATACAACTGCTAAAAAAAAAAAAAAAAAAAAAGTCTCTTCCAAGGGGCACCTGGCTGGCTCAGCTGGGAGAGCATGAGACTCTTGATCTTGGGGTCTTGAGTTTGATCTCCACGTTGGCTGTAAAGGGGCACCTGGGTGGCTCAGTCGGTTCAGCATCCGACTTCAACTCAGGTCATGATCTTATAGTCTGTGAGTTCAAGTCCTGCGTTCAACTCTGTGCTGACAGCCTGGAGCCTGCTTTGGATTCTGTGTCTCCCTCTCCCTCTGCTCCTCACCCTCTCATGCTCTGTCTCTCTCTCTCAAAAATAAACATTAAAAAATTTTTTTAAATAATAAAAATAAAAAAGAAACAAAAAACCTCTTCCAAGAATCCTGCAGTATTCACTTGTTCACTTGATACATTTCTCAACTCTTAGGGGCTGAGTTTTGCCCACAGTTGATGTTGCAAAGTAGACTTTGCTTTAAGTTCCAAAATGTGTATGTGTACCGGTAGCTAATGAATTCTCATATTTAAAAAAAAAAAAAAAATTTGGGAGGCTTTTTCTTTTCTTTTTTTTAACATTTGTTTTTTAGGGGCACCTGGGTGGCTCAGTCGGTTAAGCATCTGACTTCGGCTCAGGTCATGATCTCACACTTCGTGGGTTCAAGCCCCGCATCGGGCTCTGTGCTGACAGCTCAGAGCCTGGAGCCTGTTTCAGATTCTGTGTCTCCCTGTCTGTCTGCCCCTCCCCTGTTCACGCTGTCTCAAGAATAAATAAACATTAAAAAATTTGTTTATTTTATTTTAGTAATTTCTACATCCAACATGGGGTTCAAACTTAGGACCCTGAGATCAAGAGTTAAATGTTCATCTTTTTATTTTTATTAAAAAAAATTTTTTTTTAATGTTCATTTATTTTTGAGAGAGAGAAAGAGTGCAAGTGGGGGAGGTACAGAGAGAGGGGAAAACACAGACTCTGAACAGGCTCCAGGCTCTGAGTTGTCAGTACAGAGCAGAGCCTGACCTCGTGAACTGCGAGATCAGATGCTCAACCAACTGAGCCACCCAGCCACCCCAAGCATTACAAGCTCTATGGACTGAGCCAGCCAGGTGCCCCTGAATTACCATATTCTGATGTTGCTTCCTAAAGAACCACTTCCCAGCCTCAGGGATTCTCTTTTTTGACCCATCAAACTGTCCTTGGAGATTTCCCTAACCTCTATCACTGCTGCTGCCAGTGAATCAACACTTCTAGGCCTTTCAAGCCTCAGGCTCCCATTCACTGTAGAAAGCCCATTACCGCCAAGGGCTGTTCCCACTAGCAGACACCTTCCTCCCTCTTCCATGCCCCAGCCCTCTAAAAATGTAATCAGCAATAGCCTCTGATGTGATCATTTTTCTCCACTATTGGCTGCACATTAGAAACACTCAGACAGCTTTACTTCCATAGAATGCCTTAGCCCACTCCCAAAGATTCTGACTTCTGGTGGAGGCCTGGCAGCAGTATTTTTTTAACTACCCCCACTGATTTTAGTATACCACTAAGTCGGAGAAACATGTTTCCAATAGCTTGCAGCTACTTATTCCCTATCTTACCTGCCAGGTTACAGGAAAACAAAAAACAAACAAAAAAACCCTAACAAACCCAATTTCTGCTGCTGCTGCTGCTGCTGCTGCTGCTGCTGCTGCTGCAGTTAAAACTACATTTACCATATTCTATGATAGGAAGCTACAGTGTTATAGTTCATCTATTTTTCTGAGTAAAGTAAGCCTTTGAGAATTGGCCCAGGAACCAAAATAACTTACTATATTCCATTTCCTTTACAAGCTTTCAAGGAGAGCTTCCTATATTTTGTAATTCCTAAAATGTTTGATTTTCCCAGAGGGTGCAGATTTATTGAAAAACAGAACTTGAGCTTCAATTTGTTTTTATTTTGGAGTAGTTATTTCCAGGCTCAGTTTGGGGGAGGTAGAAGTTGAGATTCTATCAGGCTGAAGAAAATGTTAAGGACATCTAACTGCTCTGGCAGGAAGAACCCCCTGGGGAAGAGCTTGTAACGGGAAGAAAGCCCATTTCCTTGATCTTCCCAGTTGTATCCTGTACCCAGCTTTCATATCCTTCTCCTTCTTAATTAAATTTGATCTTACTTTAAATTCCTCTGGTTTTGAGATTGTCCATAAAAAGGACAAAGAGGATACTGATTGTTAAAACTGGGGTAAAACCATCACTTAGAACCGGACAGGAACCCAATGCCAATGGTGTTCAGGCAGTGTGGAAAAAAACCAGCATTTGTTGCTAATTTTGCCCTGGATGTAGTTGAGGTGACCACTCCCACATGCTAATCTATGAAAAAACTTTAGGACACCTGATTTAGAAGATGGGGAGATAGAAATTACTGAAGATTACTGGGGGGAAGCACAGAACTTGCCTCATTATAGATGAAGTTATTTAGGGTGACCGTGGGGTGGTCTTGAGCCGACAACCAAGAAAGAATTCTTGAAGAGGACTTTGGTGCAAAAAAGGTGATTTTATTAAACCATGGGGACAGGACCTATGGGCAGGAAGAGCTGCACTGGTGCCCTGACTGGTAACATTTTGTATCCTCAGGTTGGGTTGGGGTCAGGGATAGAGTAAGTCTCTAAGAATTTTGGAAGCAAGGTTTCCAGTACCTTGAGGGACTAGCTGTTGCTAGGGAAATGCCATTTATTACCGCTTAATAAAACCCCAGTCAAGAGACCATTCAGATGTATATGGGGGGGTGGGGGGCATAAGCTTGGAATATGATTCCCAGCATATATCTTGGGGCAGTTAAGATAAAGGAAGTAGACTTACAGGATCCTTGAGGTTCGGATAATGTTAAGCTAGAGTTCTCTTTCGCCCCCAGCAAAGTGTTATCATTGAGGCAACGTAGTTCCTAGAGACATGTGACTCTGCAAGTTTCAAGGACTTGTTAGTTTCCCACATTACCATGGCAAGCACTTTCCTTTGTTCTCAGGTAGCCAGGAGTGTCTGAGGGGTATCACACATATTCCACCTGGGGATGGAGTGTTGTGTGCCAGCCTGTATTTTGCCCTCAGTTTGCCCCAAGCTTCCTCATCAATTGTCATGCCTCCCAAATCCTCAGAATCTTGGTCTTCATGCGCTTGATAACTGCAGCAAGGATGACCATGGCAAAAAATGTTACTGGTCTATGCCACGTTTCTGCTCAAAATGATTTAGATCTTTAAAAGTGAAGTTGTACTGGGGGTGCCTGGGTAGATCAGTCGGTTAAGTGACCGACTGCAGCTAAGGTTATGATCTCGAGGTCTGTGGGCTGGAGCCTCATCAGGCTCTGCACTGATAGCTCAGAGCCAGGATCCTGCTTCAGATTCTGTGTCTCCCTTTCTCTCTTTCCCTCCCCTGTTTGCACTCCATCGCTCTCTCAAAAACATTTAAGAAAAAATTTTAATTTAAAAAAAAGGGAGGTCACATTAAGGAATCTACTGAAGTCATTACTTCACTATATACTAATTTGGATGTAAATTAAAAAAAAATAAAAAATAAAGTTAAAAAAAAGGGAGGTCATTCTGACAAAATATTTTAAAATGAGACAACCCAAATCGAGGTTAAATAATTTACACTTGGTCACCCAGCTGGCATTTACAGCCCTAGAGTGTGAATCTGCATCTCATTTTTGCTGTTTTGCACACCTCTAAAATAATTTATAACTTAAATAAAAGACTAAGACTCACAGTTCAGAAGTGACAAATTAAGGGCTCTGCACACGTTAAGTGTGAGAGTAAAGAACCGTGAACATCTCTCAACACTGCCTTTAACCCAGAAGTTCTCCCCAAAACCATTTTTGCAGCTCCCATCCCCTTTTCTCCTAAAAAAAAGTGTCACCCACAAAAATGGGCAGCTGAAATTTTGTTTTCTAGCACAGATATAATTTAAAACCTACAATTAAATCTTAAAATAAATAGCCAAAGTCACAGCTCCTCATACTGTACCTCTCTTCAGAAGTACTGTATTTTTCAGCCTATGAAATTCAGACATTCCAAGAAAGGTCCGCTATCCCCCCTCAAATAAAAATAGACTTGTATTTGTAACATTTTATTTTTCATCATGAAGTATACAAATTGTTTTAAAAAAAAGCCATTCCATGACTTCCGGTGTTTACAAAGCAAAATTGGACAGAGGGTGGCAGTGTTTGCTCATTTTACAGAGGAGGGAAAAAAAGCACCAACTTACTTTCACGGCAAAAACTCTACTAAAAACACTAGTATATCACAAGGAAA